AAAGAGTGTAATTGGGCATTTATGTCAAAGGAGGGCTGCCTGGTCCATCCCTCCAGCTTCAGGGCCACATGAGCTGCGGGCTGGGGCAAGGTTGGTGGTGTGCTGACAGAGGCCTGCCTGGGTGGGCAGCCTGCAGCCCATCTGGCCGTGAGCCTTGCTCTTGTCTACCTGGTGGTGCGTTCATTCCTAGTACGGGGTCCCTCGAGCAGTAGCCAGCCAGCTGCAGGTAGGGGCCTCGGTGGCACAGGCTCTATGGGTCTGTGCTGTGACCTCGGGGTGGGACTCCAGGTGGAGGGCTTTGTCCAGCTGGTGGGCTGGCTGAAGCAGGACAATTTGGGGGTGCTACTGCTTGGCCTAGCAAGGCCAAGCTTGAGGGTGCTGGGGGGAGCTTGGAGGGGCCAAAGGGACCCAGCAGGAGGTGACGAAGGTGCAGTCGGCAGGGTGTGGGGAAGAGTTTGCAGAGGCCGAGGGCAGCGTTTTCAAATGAGGCTGCCACTCTGTGTCTTGAGCACCAGGGAGCCATGGAAGGGGGTGCCGTCAGGTTGGTCACTGCCTGTGTCCTGGTCTGCAGCTGGAAGGGGCACAGGAGCAGGCCTGGGCGGCGCCCCGTGACACAGCTGGCTGCCCACAGAGCGTCTGGTGAAGGGGCCCTCAGATGCTCGGCAAGCAGCTCAGCCATCTTGCGGCCCGGCCAGGTGGACCTACCTGTTTTACGAAGCCCGCCTTTGGCACTTTCACTTTGACTGCCTCCTGTCCCCAGGGTCGGCTCCCTGCTCCCGGGGGTGCAGATCCAAGCCAGGAGAAAGCAGTGTCGCGGGTGAACTGGTCCGAACACTGTTTTGGTGGTGAGGACAAAGCTTCCTCCCTGACCAGGAAGTGGGTCCTTCATGACTGGCTACCAGGCTGCCCACATACCCGGCAGGACTCCTTTCCCCAGGCTGAGTGTGGCAGGGGTTGTCCCTGAGTCGAGGCCACCCAACCGCTCCCTGGCCACACACAGAGGAGTGAGTTGCTGGTGTTTGTATGGGGAGTGGTGTGGTCTGGGTGAGCCGGATGCCAGGGTGCGAGCAGGGCTGTCCCAGGTGGTCTGCGTGTCCTTGGGACAGCTCAGGGTATGAGTTTGCCTCAAGCACAGAGGAAGGGTTCACAGCTGCACGCTTTCCAGATCAGGACCCAGGACCTCTGCCCACCGCTGGCTTTGGGCTGGACCAACTCCCTGCAGGGCTGAGCTCTCCCAGGTGGTAGCGGGGGGGTCGGGCCATCTTCCTGGCCTTGACTTTTAGAAACCGTGCCTGGGGACCGGCAGATGGCATAATGGTTACGTTGCTGGACTCCCACGTAGTCGACTGCAGTTTGAGTCCCAGATGTGGAAGCTTAAACTCAAGCCAGGCACGTCCATGCATGCCCAAGACCCCAAGAGGAGAATGGAGGAGAAGGGATTGTGGTGTGCTCATCTTCCCGGAGGTGATTTCTCGCTTTCTGTCTCTTTCCAATGAGCGCACATGCCCTATAGCAAAACAAACAAACAAACAAACAAAAAACTCTCTTTAAAAAAAAGAGAAAGAAACTGTGCCTGACATCGCTCAGGTCTCCTGGCAGGCCTGGCAGGGCCTCAAGGGCAAGTGCTGACAAGCCTGCAGGCTGAGGTGGCCCGGTTCAGAAGAGAGCTCAGGAGCCTGCCGAGTTTGGTTGAAGACCGGTCTTCGTCCAGGGTCGACTGAGTACCGACTGGCCCGTAGAGGCTCCTGGACAGGCAGCAGGCCAGTGGCCCTGACCTTCGTGGTAACTCAGGACATTTGAGAATCTGATAAAAGGGTGAGGTTGGTATCTGGGGTCCACGGGCAGAACTCCGAAGGCAGCCCTCGAACGGAGCTTATTAGTCGTCTGTTGTGCACTTGGTGACTGGCTTCTTGACAAAGCGTGAGCTGCAGCGTTGTCTGTAATGCCACACGCTGTTGACACGGTTGCTCTCTCTTGCCAGCCTGTTCTTATGGACTGCCACTCTCCCTTCCTCAGGCTGAACAACTCTCAGAAGTCTTGGCTATATAAGACGGGGTCTCTGCTCGTGCTCGCCCACCTCGTGCTCAACGCCGCACTCACAGCCACGTCCCTCTACGTCTCCCATTTCAACTACCCCGGCGGCGTCGCCATGCAGAGGCTGCATGAGCTGGTGCCCGCCCGGACAGGTCAGTGTTGGTGCCGTCCAGGCTGGCTGCGCCCGGGAGGGCCGCATGGGGTTCTGGCTGTGGGTCCCCAGGCGTCCTTCTGCACACCGACGGGGCCTGCATGGGGCTGACTGTGGGTTTCCAGGTGTACGTCTGCACATCGACGCGGCTGCTGCCCAGACAGGTGTGTCTCGCTTTTTGCAAGTCAACGACGCTTGGAGGTATGTCTCCACACCATGGCCGCAGACGGCACTGCTCCTCCCGGCAGCCATATGCAGGGCTCCTGAGGGGCACCAAGTACAGGGCGGCGTTGGGTTCGGCTGGGTTGCAGGCGGCGGTCTGCTCTGTCTTGCAGGTATGACAAGCGGGAAGACCTACAGCCCGGGGAGCCGGGCATGCTGGCCTACACGCACCTGCTCATGGCGGCAGCCCCTGGGCCCCAGGCCCTTTACAGGGATACACACCGGGTCCTGGCCAGCATCGTGGGCACCACAGGTGTGAGTTTGAACCTGACCAAGCTGCCTCCCTTTGACGTCCACCTGCAGACAAAGCTGGTGCTGCTGGAGAGGCTTGCCAGGCCATCCTAAGGGACTGCAGGGCCAGGCTCTGGCCCTGCTCAGACCACATGGAGACAGACCAGAGACCTACACGCCTCCACCCAGGACCATCCCTGAGATTCACAGCTTGGGAGGATGAGGGCCCAGGGCCCGATGGTGTCTGTGACCAGTGCCAGAGTCGATAGTGGCTGCCCAGGTCTTCCTGCGCATTGTCAGGGTGGGCAGCTGCCTGGGCCAGGCGCTGTCCACGACCAGAGTGGACAGTGGGCAGGCTGGGGCAGCCTGCATGTGGCGGCTCTCGCTCTGATCTCCGCCTCATGGGTCTGCCTTCTGCAGGGTGCTGTGCTGCTCCTGCAGGCCTCTAGGTATACCTGGGCAACGCGGCCCTCGGGGCGGAGGTGCCACGCCCAGCCACAGTTCCCTGTGCACAGCCGCATCACCTTCCAGAAGCCATGTGTGTGGCTGCCGTGGGGCACCAGGCTCAGGTTTCATCCAGGTTCAATTGTAAGAGATAAAGGTTCAACAAGGACGCGGAGTAAGCACATGTCACTCCGATGTGCAGTCTCAGTCTGTGAATGTTCCCAAAGATGCCTACACTCAACGTGCTGTCCAAGGACGGCCCGACACGGTCCCACTTCACGGAACACGCTGAGATGGCACCCACATGCGTGTGGCACTGCCAGGTGGCCTGGTTGCCACTGTCCATGTGCACATGCACACCACACGTGTACACACCACTGTGCCTGATCCAGGGCTGGAACTGGGTTGACGGAGGCCTCAGTAAGAGACATGCCTGACACGGACAGCAGAGGGGGCCCTGGGAGGACTGAGGCTTGGGGCAGTACTGAGTCCCAGTGGGCTCAGAGGGAGGGCAGGGGGCAGACACATGGACCCAAATGTGCCTTCCCTGTATGGTGATGCCTCAGGGCTCCCTGGCTAAAGGCCCACACCCCACAACCCCCACCAGTCATGAGCCAAACTCGCCTCTGCTCTGGGGTGCCCCAACTCCAGCACCTTCTGTCACTGGCAGCAGATAGGTGACACGCTGTGAAAGTCCAGGTGCACACCCCACTGAGAATGCACGTGAGCACCGGCATGAACACAGGTGCAGGCATGCACACGCATGCAGAGACTTCTGAGCCTTGTGGGAGTGGGTTGCTTATAGTATGGCCTTTGCCCTGCTCATCTCAGGGTCACCTTCCCGCCTGGTGGTCCCTGCCTTTTCCTCTGCATCTGGCATGATCTGTGCAGACGTATCAGGCCAGAGACCCCCCTGACCGTCAGTCTCCCCAGGGGTGTCCACCGAAGACATGTCTCACAAGTCTGTGGGAGCACGGGCTTTCAGACTCAAGTATGGCCCATGCCTACCAGGCACACACAGTGCCTGCCGTCCCTGTCCATGTCCCCTTCCTACTGGCCTTCACTGTCCATCACCTGTCGCTGGGATGCACATCTGGGCTGCCCCTTCAAAGCCACTGCAAGCCACTCCATTTTGGTTTGCTTTTTGGGGGTTTTGCTATAGGGCGCATGCTCTTGCCAGAGACAGGGAAGGTTAGAAATCACCCCCCAGGAGTTCTCTTTCCCACTACACAAGATGGCAGGTGAAAAAGCTGCAAAGCAGTACACTAAGGAGAACCTGAAGCCAAGAAGGCTGATGCCAGTGGCAAGGTTAAAAAAGGTGACCCCAGGGACCAGCAGTTAGCATAATGGCTATGTCTCTGGACTCCCATGTAGTCGACTGTGGTACTCCAGGAAGGCCATGTACAAGAGGAAACACTTGGCCACTAAATCCAGGATCGAAAAGAAAAAGATTCTTGTGACTGTCACAAAACCAGTTGGTGGGGAACCAGCAGTTAGCGTGATGGCTATGTCGCTGGACTCCCACGTAGTCGACCGCGGTTCGCATCCCGGACCCGGTTGCTTAGAACTCAGGCCGGGCGAGTGTGCGTACGTGCCCAAGATCCCAAGAGGAGAATGGAGGAGAAGGGATTGCAGCGTGACCATCCCCCCCGGGGGGTGATTTCTCACTTTCTGTCTCTGTGTCTCTGTCTGTCTGGCGAGTGCACATGCCCTATAGCAAAAACCTCTGCCCCCCCCAAAAAACAAAAAAAACCTGGTTGGTGGAGACAAGAACAGTGGTACCCGGGTGGTTAAACTGTGCAAAATGCCCAGGTATTATCCTACTGAAGATGTGCCTCGGAGGCTGCTGGGCCACGGCAAAACACCCTCCAGTCAGCGTGTGAGAGAGCTGCGAGCCAGCGTCACTCCCGGGACCATCTGATCATCCTCAGTGGACGCCACAGAGGCAGGAGAGTGGTTTTCCTGAAGCAGCTGAGCAGTGGCTCACTACTTGTAACTGGACCGCTGGTTCTCAATTGAGTTCCACTGCGTAGAACATACCAGAAATTTGTCATTGCCACCTCCATGAAAATTGATATTAGAAAGTAAAAATCCCAAAGCACCTTACCGATGTTTACTTCAAGAAAAAGAAACTGCGGAAGCCCAGACACCAGGAAGGTGAAATCTTCAACACAGAGAAGGAGAAATACAAGATTTCAGAGCAGCGCAAGGTTGATCAGAAAGCTGTGGACTCGCAAATTTTACCAAAAATCAAAAGCTGTTCCTCAGCTCCAGGGCTACCTGCGATCCAAGTTTGCCCTTACGAATGGAGTTTATCCTCACAAATTGGTGTTCTAGATTTTTTTTTTGCCAAGAACCTAAATAACTGATTATATATTAAAAAAGAGAAAAGAAATCACCCCCCAGGAAGAATGGCCACACCACAATACCTTCTCCATTCTCCTGGGATTTGGGGCACATACTCCCAGTATGATTTTCAAGCCACCAGGTCAGAGACTCAAATCGCAGTCGGCTACGTGAGAATCCAGTGCCTTAAACACATGCCACCTGCTGGCTCCATCCTGGGCAACAGGTCAAACTGCGACATTTGCCCAGGAGTCCTCACAGCCCCATCCCTGCCATCCCCTCTCTGAGTGCCACCTGGCAGCCCTTTATTATTTTTTAAATTTGCTATAGGACATGTATGCTTACCAGAGAGAGACGGTGAGAGGGAGAGTGAAAAGGTGAGAAAGCGAGGCACCACGTCCGAGACTTGAACCGTGGTCGGCCATGTGGGATTCCAGTGCCTTAACCATCATGCCACCTGCTGGCCCCTTTGTTTCTTGCAGGCAGCATTCTACATGTTCTCTTTTGCACTTTGCCTTTCTCACTGAGCACCTCCTGGAGGGGTGGTTCCTTGGCACAGCAGTGATGCAGTGCTTGAGGGAAGCCAGACCCGTGTGGTGCCCGTGTGTTAATCCTGGCCTGCTCAGCCTGAAACAGTTGGGCATACGCCAGTGCCCGAGATGGACTGGCTGGAGGCCTGGAGGGAGAGTGCAGTGTGACCAGACTCTGTGGAGGGTGCTCATTTCTCTCGAAAACACATACACTAATGTGAATAAGTAATTTTTTATAAAAAGGACAGTTTCTCCAGGCAGTTGCTTGTCCATGCATGGCACCATGTCACCGTGTTTTGGAATCACACTGTGCTCAGTGTATGGGTGGCCACAGTTCATTCAGCTCCTCACTGCTGTGTGAGCATCCGGGCTCTGTCCGCTATTTTGGAAATTCATATAATGCTGCAATAAAAATGCAAATGACTATGTACTTAGGCTCCATTTATATGAAACTGTAGAAGAAACAAAACTTGAAAGCCGCCTTTGAGTGCGTCCCAAATATTTTGTACTTTCCTCTGGGTCAGGTTTGTTGTTTCATTTGTTTTTGTTTTTAAAGAATTATTTATTTATTTAATTCCATTTGTTATTATTATTTTTAAAAGTTTGACCAGAGAGAGAAAAGGAAAGTGAGAAGGGGCCGGCAGGTGGCATGGTGGGTAAGGGCGCTGGACTCCCACATGGCCGACTGTGGTTTGAATCCCGGGCTTGGCGGTTTGCTTTCTCTCTTTCTCTCTCTCACTCTGAAATAAGCAAATAAAGTTAAATAAAATAATAATAATTTTTAAAAAATTGAGAAAGCAAGCCACCAGGTCTGGGACTCAAACCGCAGTCGGCCATCTGAAAATCCAGCACCTTTAATCACTACGCCACCTGCTGGCCCGTGTGTCAGTTCTGAATACATGTGTTCTAAGTTAATTCCCCAGGAGTTAGCCCAGTCGCTACTGATGTGTTCGGAGCTCCCTTCTTTATGTCGCCAAGATGGGTTACTATTTTGTATATGATGCTACCGGTGTTTCCTCTTTGTTGTTTATTAAGGTGTTACTTACATTCACCAATGTTTTTACTTTTATTTTTTATTTTCTATAGGGCGTGTGCACTCTTGAGGCAGAGGGAGAATGAGAAGTCACCCCCCAGAGGGAATGGTCACACTGCAATCCCTTGTCCGTTCTCCTCCTGGGACTCGGGCACATGTGCACATGCACCCAGTATGCCCGAGACGAGGGGTCTAGACTGTAAACTGCAGTCGGCCAAGTGGGATCCAGCGTCTCAACCACTGTGCCATCTGCTGGCCCCGAATTCGCCAATTTCAACTGTACAGTTGGGTGACCGGGCGGGCAGAAACAGGCACGTGACCAGCACCGTGGACACCGTTTTCTGCCCTCGGTCCCCCAGTGACGACCCGTCTGCTCCAGCAGTTTGGTTTCTTCTAGTTTCACATAACTGGAATGTGAGCACCTGACCTATGGCCTTTTCTATTTTAACTTTATTTTGAGCGAGAGATTTTTGCTATAGGTGCATGTGCTCACCAGAGAACGAGAGACAAGGGACAGAAAGTGAGAATCGCCCTCCCGGGGGGTGACCATGCCACAGTCCCTTCTCCGTTAGCCTTTCAGGATTTGGGGCATGCACGCACATGCACCCAGCATGAGTTTGAAGCCACCAGGTCCAGGACCCAAACTGGTCAGCCATGTGGGAGTCCAGCAATGTAATAACCATTATGCCATCTGCTGGTCCCTTGTACTTTAACTTCTTTCACCTAGTATGATCTTTCCAAGATTCACCCAGCTACCACATGTAGTTTAATCATACATTGATGTTTTATTCCTGGGCTATATTCTCATTTGACGAAATACACTGTTTTTTTATCCACACACCAATTTTTGTCTGAACTGTTTCCATTTCTTGGCCATTATAAATATGCTGGTGTGAATACCTGCATATGTGTCTCACCTGGCTGTGTTTTCATTTTTCCTAGGTAAATACGGCAGTGTGGCAGTGGGATGGCTGAGTCCTGTCAGGGGCATGTCCCCTGCGGGGGCTGTGCCTCCTGGAGCAGGACAGGGTCCCACTCCTCTACCTCCCTGCCAGCACTTGGTGCCAGCACTGCTTTCTTATTTTTTCCACAAGCAGAAGAGACCGCATTGCTGATAGGGTGTAGACAGCAGCCAGCCAGCTGTGGCTCCTGGCACGCCCTCTGGATGCGCACCTGAACCCTGTTACATGGGTCAGCGTCAGAGCGTCATCTTTTCCTGCTGCACCACCCTCTGGCCCCTGGAGAAAGAAAGTGAGTAATCACCCCCAGGGGATGGCCATGCCACAATCCCTTCTCCTCCATTCTCCTCTCAGGATGATGGGTACACCTGCACATGCGATGATTTTTTTTTCGGGGGGGAGGGGTGTAGGTTTTTGACTGAGGGTATGTGAGAGAGAGAGAGAGAGAGAGAGAGAGAGGGAGAGAAAGTGAGAAACCACCCCAGGGTGATGGCCACACGCAATCCCTCCGTTCTCCTTCTGAGATCTTGGGCATGTTTCAAGCCACCAGGCCTGGGACATGAACTGCATCAGCTATGTGAGAGTCCAGCAACATAACCACTAAGTCATCTGCTGGCTCCCTGGACATAATTTTCAGGCTGCCAGACTGGGACTTGAACCACAGTTGGCTGGTAGTCCAGCACCTTAACCACCACATCATCTGCCAGCTCCCCTGGTAATTTTGTTATTAGACGTACATCTTAATTGTATTTTTCAATTTGCTATAAGGTACATGTCCTTGCTGGCGAGAGAAAAAGAACAGACCCCTGTGAGTGATGCCTCCCCCCACCCCCCAAGCCCTTCTGCTCCGTCTCTCCTCCTTTGGGAGTCTCAGACATGCACACCGCAGCGGGTTTTGAACCACTGGGTGCCTGCT